ATGACTGATCACACGTCACACTGGTGTCCAAACTTTGTATAACTCAAATTTTCCGAAAATCTTAATTAATTATGTAGAAGGATTGGCTTTAACTGAGAAAAAAAATATTCATTTATTATATGTTTCTATAGATAGTCTTATTTGCTGTGATTGTTTAAAAAAAAAAAACAAGTGTCACGAAATGTTTTTGTTCTATATGTTTTTATATAAACTCTCGTTAAGAGAGCATTTGAATTTCCGATTTTATACTACCCGGAGTATATCACGGAGGGTATCGGACTCTAGTTTGTCACACCAGTTGTCATTTATTTCCTTTATTAGTTTTGAACAAAAGTTGTTCTTTGTGAAATAAATTCCGTTAGCTTCAAAATGTCTTCGTCCGAGGAAGAAATAGTCATAAAACGACAAGTCAATAAGATAAAGCCGCGAACGATTAAATCACAACCACGACACGCTGAATTATCCCTAGCTGATAATATACAATCACAACAGGTATTAGATAATACCGATTTACCTGATTCGCCTAGCAAACCGAAAAAAACGAAAACTTGTGATGATGAGGACGGCTTCTTTACACGATCTTCTTTCACTCGGAACGTGTCCACCAAAAAAACAAGTTTGTATTCGTGTTTATCATATCATTTTTCGATATATATATTTTTTTTATGTTTTACACCTTTATTTCACGTGCCATAGAACCTGTAAAAATTCTCAAAGAATTAGAAGAAAATAATTTTGATGATTTATCAACACATAATGAAAAAGGTCCTCAACTTAAACGTTCAAGACATAAGGAAAAAGCTTCAAAGTCGGATTGGACATTATCTGACGATCCAATCGACATTGATATTAGCGATCACACGAATGACCTTTCGTAAGTATTGCAAACCAAAAAAAAGTTTATTATTTGTATCAATTCACGTATTCACGTGATTTTATTGGACATTCTTAGAGATTTTTCAGATGAGTCCATGGAAATAAATAGAACTAATGATAAAAAAGAGATTTCAAATCCGATTGATAGAGAATCATCTTTAACACCACCACCTGAACTTAGCGAATATCAACTAAGAACTACGGTTGGCACACTAAGGTAATTCGTTTTTGTTTAGTGGACTTGCTATAACTTTTTTTTTCTTTCTTTTCTTTTTTTTTTTTTGCTGAACCTAATCCCCGATTAGAGCGACACTCTCTCAATATTCGGAAAGACTTCGATCTGAAAGTGTTGACATCGGTTCACCAGGTGTATCCTACGAACCACAGGATGATATAGAGTTAGATCCTGAACTTTTAGCTATTCAACAGTCTCTTAAACAGCCATATGGAAAATCAAACAGATGCATTGATACTAAAGTTGAAATAATGGTACTTCCCGTTCGTCATCCAGATCTCCAAACTGCGGATGCGAACAAAACCGTTCAGGCTGAATTTGAAAAGCCTATTAAATTTATTATGAAAGCGGTGTGTATTTGTTATCATGCCGTTAAACAGAAAAGAAATCAAAATCATGTACGGTATATTTAAGCATATATCATCATTGTACTTGATTATAGCAAGACAATTTCGAGCGAATGATAAAGACTATATGCGAAAAGAGAGGTATAGGGAAACAAGATATTGTGTTGACATATAAAAAGGTGAAAGTATTTCCACGTAGCACACCGGAAAGTTTAGGAATGTCTGGCCAAGCGCATATGGGTACGTGTTTATCGTACATAATTTCGTCTCAAAATTTGTATTAATCGTATTTTGTATATATTTAGAGGTATTCACAAGAGATACATACAATTATTACAAAGAACGGAATATCCTATTAAAACATAGAATGTTAGAGGAAATAGAGAGAGAGTCAAAATTTTCGGATGATCAAAATGAGTCCGATTTTAATAATACAGAGAAAATGGTTCAAACTGATAATGATTACCTTCATCTGAAATTGTTGAGCAAAGACGAATCAATTGAAAAGTTAAAAATAAAAAAGGTATTATGCCTTTTTTTTTTTTTTTTTTTACTTATCTAATTTATTTATTTACTAATCAACATAGCTATTTGTTGTTATTAGACTTTAACAGCACAAGCTGTTATTGACCATTACAAAAAAATCAGAGATATTCCGAACGACGTCGACATAAAACTGATGTTTGAAGATGAAGCGTTATCTGTTACTGATAAACTGGAGGATACAGATTTGGAGGATAGTGATATGTTGACCGTCGTTATTAATTGTTAATAAAAGTTGGTGTTGTCTGAACTACAATATTTCGAAACACAGAAAAGGTTCTTTGCATTTTGTTGAATTTGATAAGACCAGGTAAGTAATTTAATGGTTTGTTTTTCCTCCATGTCGAATAAACATATAGTATTAAGGTATGTTGCCTATTAGAACAATGACTAAATTAATAACTATAATATTGTTGTAAGTCGTTTTTACAACGAATGTATTATGGATAATTTTTTAATATTATGAACATTGTTTGAAAAAATAATATAGTCATTTGCAAACATTTCCTTTTTATATAAATTATAAATGCTTATAATTACGTAATTGATTATGCGCCAAATCCCGTAACGGAACCACCTACGCCAGCCTGTTGCCCCTTCTTT